CTAAAGCTGCACCAATACCAAGCATTTAATAGTATTCTATTTTGAAGGCACGCCCAAATACTATCAAATTAAAATTATTAAATCAAAACAATATAAAATATAGACAATCAGCGTTCTTAGTAGACAGCTGCAAAATTATCAAAAATTGACCGATTTGGGGTGATAAAAATGCTAGGGAGCACTGCCATAACAATCCTATTGACGAATCAGTAAAAAATTCTCATCTTTTTTACAGTAAAAATCAGTTCTTTTAAGCAAAATTCTTTCCTTTGGGAATTTCGGAGTATCCTATGCACATTTTGTTTTCCTTTGAGAAAAAAAAGCACTTATGCTGGAAAAATAACTAACTAATCCAGTCTAATTTTAAATATATTTAGATTTCTATGCATATTAGTCGAACGTCTAAACAACGTTTTATGCTTCTGAAAAACTTTATACACATTTTTAAATAAAATACATAGTTAGATTTTTTCATCACTTTTAATTTATTCGTTTACTGAAATATAATTGTTACCTGGAACGTTAAGTGGGTGGCCAGTACAATCTTATGGTTTTCAAACAAACCTCTGCTGACATAACGGAAAATAGATAATGTGACATCTTGAACAAGAAGTCTCACTCTCGCAGCTACAGCTTCTGTGTGGACACATTTATCTATGGCCTTATGAAATACCTCTTTGATGGACTGAAAGAAGAAAGCATTCGACATGAGCACAATTAAAATTTAGAAAAGGGAGTTTTTTTTTTTATCTGGAAGCATAACCATGCAGTATTAGTGCAATTTTAATTTTTATGTATAATATGATTCCCAACTTCAGATTTCAAAATCTGAAATCAAATTCCAATCACTAATTAAATAATTCCTTTTCATGCTTTTGGAATTATTATTTTGTTTTCAAATGATGAAACGACGAATTTAATTTCTCCTTGATTTATGTTGAGTATACACTGTTGAAATTATTAACCCTAATACCGGGCAAGTAAATCTTTTTTACATTTGAGGTACTTTATTTACGCCGCACAATGAGCTATTGGTGACGGTCTGAGAAACACCCCTGAGGATGATCCGAAGACATGCCATCAATATTCTGCTCCTCAGCAGTGGGGATCTCTCCCCTCTTTAGAAGCCCGACAACCTGCGCACGAAGTCGAGCACTTTATGGTAGAACAGTTTAACGAGGTACGATACCGCGCGCCTTCGGTCCCTATGCAGGCTTATCAAAGTAGTCACCCACCTGCTCACTGACTGCAGCCAGTCATACTTCACTTCGGTGATCTACTGGGAACAGTGTCTTTACGATCAGTTCACGGTTGGACTTCTTACATTTGATTACTCGATATTATTAATGAACCAAATTATCCTCATGCCGAAATCATTGCCCTCAATATATATTAAGAATAATGATTAGAAATGAAGTGAATAAAGTGTACATATTAGACTCCTCAAATCATGTTTAAGGGAAGAATAAGCGAAAATTCTATCTAAATCTGTCTAATCACATTACGGAGTGATGCATTAAACATTAAAACCTGTTTGATTGACAACAGAAGCAGAGAAGAGTTGAAAGATGATAATTAGAAACCCCTTTAAATTGTGTGAGGAAATTAAACTGATTTTGAAGTTTAGAAATTTACACCACGCCTTCTTCACTTTTGATTTCACAGATCTCAATAGCGTTTTTTCTTTTCTTCTTTGCTTAAAAATTAATTTATGATCTATAATGTAATAAATTTTTTGGTTTCACTCATGACAAGGATTCTAAAAATAAACATTATGAGGGAGGATTACTGATCACCATGTACAATTATCAATACTAGGAAATTCAGATCCTAACGATATAACTAAAGAACTTTTGTCTTTTACAAATAAGGAAGACGAATTGTTTATTGTTTTTTTTCCTACTCGATAATTTTTCACTTTTTTACTTTAAGCATTTGTATGATCATATGAATTAATTCAGAACTGAGAAAATAAATATAACTTACTCACATTCAATGTATACAAAGGTTTATTTTATTACGCCTTCTGAATGTCCTATTTACAACTTTCCAAGATTTTGCACAGATTTTCGTATTTTTATAATGGGCTTAAGATTAGCGATAAAAAACAGAAACTTATGATGTTCAGTTGTGCGTTAATGTAGAAGTAGTCATGCGCAGGATTAATATGAACATTTAAAAATTCAAGTGTTTCATACATTTAATGTGGACTTAGTATTATCAGCAAAAAGAAATATTTATGATATATAATAGCTTTAAAAGTCAACTGCGTTGTTGTACAAATAGTTACACACAGAATCAATTTGAGCATTTAAAATTCATAATGTTTTATTTTTTAACATGGGCTTAGTAATCAGCAAAAAGAGAAACCTATGATGTAGTGTTAGTTTTAAATTTCATTCGAGACATTATTGCCTAACCATGCACTGGATTTACATAATCGCTTAAAAATTCCAAATGTATCACATTTTTAACATGTGATCAGCAAAAAACGAAAAAAAAATTGAAAATAAGACTCATGAAGGTAGTTAGCCTTGAAGTTAAAATGGGTACTTGCAACTCGAGAAGAGGGAAAAGACGTGATTTGGCCCAACCATGTGATTTAAATCAGATTTAACTGGATATGTGTACGCTTCGTCACGCGTAAGTGTCTAATCTGATTGGCTATGGAATAGACGCATGTCACGATGACGTCGCTTGAAGGTATCCAGTTATGGCGATTATGACATTCTTTTATAAATAGACTCAAGATGAAAGTGATTACTTAAAATTTTTTAACTATCTTCGTTCTCACTTACTTTTAATGAGAAAAGATACATGGGACTGAGTGTGGCGAGGTCTTGGATAACGAAATATACTAGAGAAGCGCGAATGGCAACATCTCTGTACATTTCTCTTGCCTCGTTGATGGAAGCCTCGGTCAAACTGCCTTCCGTGGCTTTTGCTTTTATTTCAGCAGCCGTTGCTTTTGTGGATTCTAGACTTTCAACCAGTGATACATCTCCAACCAGATTACCTTCTGCTTGAGATAATCGTGACAGAAGACTTTCCTCCAGACTTTTCAAGGTGGTGGCGAATTCGCTTTGTTCCTTAGTCAATCTTGCCTGCATTTTACAAATAAAGAAACGTTTTAAAACTTTATACACAGTAGTTTCATTAAGACTAAATTTAAAGCCATCGTGTTTATACTTTTTTCCCTTAAGGAGTCCGTTTTTTTCGCACTATTTTTTCAGTGGTTCAAGGAAATAATTTTTACGAAAATGCAAAAGCTTAGTATCGTTATTACGGCATAATATGAATATGTCATGATATCATAATTTTATATTATATTTAATTAATATTATATTAATTAATATTATGTTAATTAATTATATATACCCGCTCTGGGCATGGATGTTTCTCTCTATGTGTTTGTGTGTGATGTGTGAATGTGGCCCACCCTATGAACGGGTATTTGTGGCAGTGTGGCGTGGGCAATGTAGCTCGCCTCCGTGACTTAGGTTCACTGGGTAACGTTAAATGAGCAACACTTCCGGCATCTTCCAAGGTGAAGAACGAAAAGTTCAGTACCTGCCATTACAGGAAAAATTTTCAAAATTAATTTCTAAGTATATAAAAGAATTAAAATTTTCTGATTCTTTCAGCAACCATTTCAACTATTAATGCCACTTCGTTTCTATATTATCGTCTACACATTAATATTTTATCATTACACTGGGGAATATCTTTTTTTCGTTTTTTATTGCATGAGAATTCTTAAGGGATCTTAATATCATTGACTTTAAATCTGCAATCGATTTTTTTCTCCAAGCTAAGTTTTTTTTAAATGGCATTTTAAGTCTATTTTTGTCGAAACATACAAGTGTAAAAGAGTTATACATAATAGGGGTTTGCATAAATATTGCGACAAACTTCTAGAGGAGTTAGGGTACATCATTAGGATAAAAAGTGCCTTGGAATCAGCGCCCGAAAATGCCATCATAATAGAGAAGCCCTTTTAGCCCCAATCGATGACGTTTTCAGACATGGATTTCTATGCACTTTTAATCCTGATGATGTGCTCTAATTCCCCTAGATGTTCGTCGCAACATTTATCATATCTCTAACGTTTTTAAACTTCTACATTTCGACAAAAAATATACCAAAAATGTCATTCAAAAAAAAATTGTTGCTCGGAGAAAGAAATCAATTGAGGATTTGAAATCAGCGATATAAAATCATCTAAGCTCGGATAAAAAAATGTCATACAACAGAAAACAAAAGAAAATGTGTACCTCAGTGTTATTAATCGTAGGTTATAAATCGTTGGTTGTAGTAAAATAAAACAGAGATGCAGCATGGACATTTATGTTAAAAAAATATTTTGTCATTAATAATTAATATATATATATATACATTTATTAATCAAAATCTTCTATATGTGTATCTTATTAAATCTTACTCTTATTGCTGCCCATGATTGATTACTCATAAACTCAACAGGACTTTCTAGAGTCGAATCCTCAATATT